CTTAAAAAATTTGTTTATTCTTGCCTATAGGGTGCCAAACTGCAAGTGTTCATACAGATAAAATCAACAACAAATGGACCAGCCGGGGACTTAGCTCAGTGGTTCTGGCTCCTGCCTTGCAAGCACAAGGTCCCGAGTTCGATCCCCGGTACCAAAAAAAACCCAAAAAACAAAACAAACAAACTGAATTACAGAGCAAGACTCTGTCTTAAAACAAAACAAAAAAAAACCCAAATGGACTAGACTTTTTTTTTGCCAAGATCCACCAGGTTGACTTGATGAAGAGTTTATAATGGCTAAATTATAACATGACTTTTACGGCAGGCCTACTAAGTTAGTTCCCTGGAGAGAGCCCCTAACTGTGGTCTTCCCTACATTGACCCTTGTCGGCTCAAAGCAGTTGGATGTAAAGTACGCCCTTTCTCCCCTAACTGCAGCTGAGGATAGCTCTTCAGAGAAAAATAGAGACAGCTAAGTCAGTTAGACTCATTATAGGTCCTCATAACCCACAGGGACAAGCCATTGTTAAGCGCACTCATCTTTCCTTACAATGACAATAGCAAAAACAAAAAAAGATACGGCTACTTCTACAAGCTCAGTTAGATCCTGTTACTTTCTTTTGGGGGGGGGGGGCGGGGGGCGGTCCTTGCGCTTGTGCAGCAGGCGGCGAAACCACTGAGCTAAATCCCCAGCCCAGATCCTGTTACTTTCATTTAAAATTTTTTAAAACCCACTTGTGGAAAGAAAATGCACTCCATCAAAACTCCACTGATACAAAGATAAATGTAGAGACATGTCCTAGACACAAGTGTTGTCAAAGGATGTCCTAGTTAAAAGGTTAAATGGCTCACTACAATTAATAACATGGGAGCCAAGGTATGCTTGTATTCTAACAGAGAATAAAAAGACACTCTGGCTGCCATCCCGGAACATACAACCATGGACCGGGATGATGGGTTCACTTCAAGCAGCTTGATGTAACAGCCCTGCTGAGAGCCATGCAGAGGCTGTGAACCCCCTCGCCCACGACAGTCCTCGGACCTGCAGAAATCACTGGACTCAGTGCACCAACTGCTACTGAGTCCCAGGAGCAAACAGGCCCAAGGACAACCATGGCTCACCCTGATACAGCTGCTGCAGCTTCCAAAAACAGAAGGGGGAGATGTGGGGGACCACCCCACTGACTGCGCCCAAAGCAGGCTGTGAGCAGTGCAGGCTGAAGAGTTAACCCCACAACTGGCTTGATTTGAGAAGTGAGTCCAACCAAAGCCCATGTGACCAAATAACACGGCAGCCATGGTCAGAGTGACTCGCACCCAAATTCCATTACCAAAATTAAGAATGCTCTGTCTCTCCTCTTACAAGCCTTGCCTGTGTCAGCAACGTATCCCTAGCAAACACATGTAGCCCTCTCACCTTAACCTATGATGCGACCAATAAATACCAGCAGCTTTGGCTGGTGAAGGTCTTTGCTGTTCAGCATTGGCCATCCTGGCTCCCTGTCTCTTCCCCTCTCTTTCTTCTTGCCTTGCATCATAGCATCAAGCAGGAGACAGGCACCTGCTACAGGGGTCTCCAATAACCAGGAAGCCCTATTGGCCTTGAATGCAGTGAACCTCCCGGCTCAACCTCCCTCATCCTCCTGAGTGCAGGGATCACAGCCTTGTGCCACCATGCCCACTTATCATTTGTTTTTGAGGAAAGGTCTTCACATGTAGATCAGGGTGGCCTTGAACGAGTTATCTTCCTGCCTCAGGCTCCCAACTGCCTGGATTACAGACCTGTCCCACCACATCTTGCTGGCTGTGCTTTTTCGAATCTCCTCCACTTGCATTTTCTGGTGTCTATAGATGGCAAACCACAGGGTCGCTTTTAGTTCAACTCAGCCATCAGAGAAGAATGAATGTCCTTTCAGCCCTAACCTACCAATGAATTTATTCATTCATTTGTTTAAGGCCTCTTTATGTTTCTTCTCTCCTGTCCTCATTTAAAAATTTTTATTACTATATACTTGTAGTACATCATGATCACATTCATCATGGAAGCTGTTGGTACCTGCACTCTCCTGTCCTTGTGAAATGGGCTGCTTGGGGCTGAGTGGTGGAGCCCGGACTTTGCTTTCCGAAGGGCCTGGGTTCAATCCTCAGCATCACCCCCCTGAAAAAGTCTCTGCCCGTATTAAAGGATGGTCTTTCCTTTGTGCTTTGGATCCCAGTTCTTTCACTCCTGCATTCTTACTAATACTTTCTTTTGATATGTCATTTGAAAAATTTAAGACATATACACAAAAATGTCCACACACACACCCATTGTTAATTTCTCTCCATCTAGTCAGTTGAGAGACACCACCCTACCTAAAAAACCAACACTGAATACCCCTTCCACACCATATCCAGTCCATATCCAATCCTCCTTCCATAACCCTAGCAAACTTTTTTTCTGGTGGGGGAGGTCTTGCTATGCAACCCAGGCTGGCTTGAATCTCACAGTGATCCTCCTGCGTCAGCCTCTGAGTGCTGGGATTACAGGAATGAGTAATCATGCCCAGCTAAAGTGTCTAAAAGATTTGTCTGTAGTTACCTTTACTTCCTCAGTCTGTATCATCTCTTCAGTCTATTTCAGTAGGGCTTTCGTCCCCATTACACCAAGGTAAGGCTACATTTTTCAAGTCGCACCAACATACAGCAATGCTTGTAGATCCACAGTGAGATCTCAAGGACCAGCTCACTTACACTTGACCTCTCCCTGATCATCAGTGCTGGGAGCAACCCTGCAGCCTGATGCATGCTGGGGAGAGCTCTGTTGCTTCAAGTACATCCCAAGTGCCTGCCTGACCACTTCCTTCAAATCTTTGCTTCTTCTTCTTTCCATTTCCATAGTCCCTAAGTTACTTGAGCCAGTACTGCCACTCTAAATCCCTTCATAGGCCAGTGGCTCTCCTGAGCCTTCAGATTCGAGCTGTGTGTCCTATCCCATTGGGGATGACTAACACAGCTGGGACTTGACCAGTGCCAGAACATTTGTGTTATTCCCTGTTCCCTCCCTGAGTTTCCCCAATCTCACATTCAACCTAGTTGCTGAAATTAAAAACAGCTAAAAAAAAAAAAAAAGGCCCTTGGTTCCATTAAAACAAAAAAACCCTTGATTCCAGTTTCTTTTCCTTATCACTCTCATCAGCAAGTCCTACCCATTTTACTTTCAAAATATTTCAGCCCAGGGATTTAGCTCAGTGGTTCCACCACCTGCCTGGCAAGCACAAGGTCCCAAGTTCGATCCCTGGTACCAAAAAATGTCAAATCAGGTGGCCATGCTGGGGCACACCTGCCAGTATAACCCCTGCACTCCAGAGGCCAAGGCAGGAGGATCATAAGTTCAAGGCCAGCCTGGGCTACATAGTGAGACCCTGTCTCTAACCTCCTAAATGCCCCCAGTGCGAACAGCAACTCTCATCTCTCTACCTAAGCTGCTGCCGTCCAGTCTCCCCAGTTCTCAGTCTAACAGGGAAGTGTCCTCATTGCATCCTCGCCGCTATGCTGCTGCTGTCACCTGCTCCCACACAGCAGTGATCTCTTCAAAGTGTAAAGTAGGTCATGTCGCTCCCCTGCCTAACACTCCTCTCCAATGGCCTCCCACCGCCATTCTTCACCTTGACTTATAAAAATCTCACCCTCTTTTTGTTGTTACCAGGGTTTGAAACCAAGGCCTCCACACAGAGCCATATCCCTGGCCCTTTTTTATATTTTATTTTGAGACAGGATCCTGCCAGGTAACTAAGTTGCCCAGGCTGGGCTCCAACGTGTGATCCTCTCACCTCAGCCTCCAGATGCTGGGATTACAAGGGTGGGCCCCCATGCCTGGCTCACGTAAGCCCTCATCTCTGTACTCTGCTGCCCACCTAGCTTCATCTCCACCTCTCTCCTTCCCTCACTGAACTCACCACGTTCTTTCTGAGGGCCTTGTGCTGTTTCCTCTCCCAGGAAAGTTCTACAGCAGTCATCACGTCGCCTCTCCCATCTTACGCACATCTGCCAGGCGGGCGTAGTGGCACAGGCCTGAACCTACCACTCTGAGAGGCTGAGGCAGGTTCAAGTCCAGCCTGGGCAATTTTGAGACTTAGAGACCTTGTCTCAAAACAAGAAGGGCTGCTGACGCAGCTCGGTCTTCAATCCCTATTACCAGAAAGACCAGGTCTTTACTGACCACACAGGCTGAAGCTCGTCTCCTAGCGCCAAAGGCAAGCCTCCGCCTCGAGGGGACCCTGTTAAAGGTCTTCATTCGATGGAAGGCGCTTGCAGCTCTGTCCATCTTGTCCCCACTGAGGACAGCTTCTGAAAGAGCATCGGCTCAGCAATCATTTGTGCCCCATGTTGAATCCCAGCACCACAAAAAATAGATAGACGGTGTCCTAAGGAGGAATGGATGAATGGCATCAGATACTTATTAACCCAAGTCCAAACTAGGGACACCGAACAATCACTTGCAAGATATCAAAAAGAAACGGGCTATCCCAGCCTCTTCCTCTCTGAAAGTTCAAGCTGTATGTGACTTAGGACCTGGTTCCAGTCGTACAGACACTAATGGTAACTGCAAAGAGAAAATGAGCTATCTCTAGGAAATGAGATGAGAGCTCATCCCAAGATTATCAGCAGCCTTAACTCCCCAGAGTAAACAGCACTGACAACAGATCTACTATTTCCCTAACTGCAGAAGAATGGGGAATCAGCTGGCCTTATGTAAAGCCCATACTCCCAGCACTGGGATCTCCACAAGTCTGAGGCCAGTCTGGGCTACACAGTGAGACCCTGACTCAAAAGAACCAAAAAGAAGAGAGGAGGAGGGAAGAGGAAGAGGAGGAGGAAATCATAAATCCTGCTCGGCTCACCCGTAGAGTCTCAATTTTCCCCCTAAGTATTTGATCAATAAGTCATTCCAATAACGTTTCTGCAACGCTGAGGAGAAAAATTACTTTTAAAAATTACACTTCTAGGATATAGCAAAAATATTAAAATAACTTTTTATTTGAAGTTTACTGAAAAGAGGCCCTCTAATTTGCACTTTCGTCCTGAATAAATAAGCCAACTGTATATATACTGCGTACAAAGTGGTATTAAGAATAGTCCAAATAGCGGGCCAGGGGTGCAGCTCAGTGGGGCCTCACCTCCCTGGCAAGGGCAAGGTCCTGAGTTCGATTCCTGGTATTGGGGAAAAAATGTCTAAATAGAGGCACAGTGAAACAGTGAAAAAGATGAACTCCTCCAAGGTCTTAAGAGCTCCCAACAGCATCTTGGGTGATCTGAAAAGGCAACTACACCTGCATGGCCCTTCTGGCTCCAGCTCAAAGTTCGGTGCCCAGAGGTAGCATCCATGCTCTTGTGAGTGGTTTCCTGGGCAGCCGGCCTATGCCAGCAGAAGAACGCACGAGCTCAGAGGCCACAGCCCCGCCCACCCAGCCCTACTTGAGATCCATGAACCGGATGTCCATGATGAGCAGGAAGTTCTTGGGCAGAGGGCGGGGCGCCGGGGAGAGCACAGTGAACACCTGGTGCTCCAGGTCCACGCTGGTCACCACGATGAAGCCGGCCACGCTGGTCTCCGAGAGGTTCTCCTCGGTGCCCTCAGCCGTGCTGACGCTCAGCAGGTGGTGCACCATGTCCCGGCCCGGGGTGACGGGCACCAGCTTGAGCTGGTTGTCCTCCTGGGACATGCCCAGCGGGAGACAGGAGTCGGGGATGGTGGGCGCGCCCACCTTGTAGATTTTCACATCAGAAAATTTGACATTGAAGGCATGGGGATAGAAGCAGCCCCGGAAGCCGTAGAAATACTCACGAATGCGCTCGTCCCTGCACTCCCGCCGGAAGTCCTTAGAGCGCTCCACCACGCCCCCAGACTTGGGGAGCAGCACCGTGCGAACGAAGTGAGGCAGGTCCCGCTTCAGCTCATTGTACAGCCGCTCCTGGTCCAGCACCACGACCACGTCCACCTCGAAGGCAGAGGCTGCGTGCACCAGCGCCTGGTAGCCCGAGCCCTTGACCCAGCCGCAAGTATTTATAACGCAGCCGCTCACGGAAGCCCTTCGGTTCACCTCACACCGCTGGTTAAACACATCTGCTAGGCGAGATGTAATCTGCAGTAAAACGACCAAGGTGAGAGAACAAAAAACCCAGACAAGGGCAATCCATTTGGGACCGACCTCTCCAGTCTCCCAGGAGCTATTCTCACTCCCCATTCTTATTTCCCATTCCGATTCCCCAATAAGTTTTCCTATTCTTAACCTCCAAAAAAAATAAAAAGAAAAACAAGAAAAGAAAACCCAGACAAGGTGGAGGGAAAGAGGGGAAGGGAACATATAGAAGAATTGAGATGTGTTCTGTACACGCAACAACTCCCCACCAGGAAGGGAATCTTTATGTACAGCAAACATGGACCAATAAAATTAAAATTTTAAAACTTCAGACTGCTCAGTGGCTATTCTGTTCCCCTTTAAGTGGTACTGGGCACAAGAAAAATGGCCTATTGTGCATGTACTTGCACAGTGCTGGGCCAAACCCAAGAAGTCACACAAACTAGGCCAGGGCTTGACCACAGAGTTACCCTCAGGCCCCAAATGACACTTCAGGCTGGCCTTGAACTCACTGTGTAGCCCAGGATGGCCTATCACTCACAGCGCTCCTCCTGCCTCAGCCTCCTGAGTGCTGGGATTACCGGTGTGTGCTACCACACTGTGCTTCAAATAACAATTTTAATGCCTGTAGCTTTGACCTCGTAAGATGGACTTAACTTTTATTTCACGTTGTTTCTGCTTCCTGCCTTATGTCCCACATGGACATTTATAATAAATTAGTAACAGGTCCACAAAAATGTTTAGCAATCTGAGGCTAATACTTGAAACTGTGCTTTCTAAAACCATGAGGCAGTAGGAGCAAGAAGCTGAGAGGGAGCAAAGTGTAGCTTTAGCTAGCAAACTCCCACAACTTCCTACCCTGAGAGCAACCTGACCGCCTGCCCAGGATCCAGCTGACCTTATTATACAGCTTGATGTTGGTCCCCGGAGTGGTGGAGCCAAAATGATACACCAGCGGGGCCTGGATGGAGAAACCTTCTTCCACATCTGCAGGCCGCTCAATGTACAGGGCTCCCATGGTACCAGGGATGGACACAGAGCCCTGGCCCACATCCAGCTCCACGTAAGTAGGACGGCGTCCCAAACGCACTGCATAGTTGAGCAGCAGGCGACACACCGTGGATTTGCCCACATCTGTGGGGCCGACAACCATCACCCGGGGCCCACGCTCCTCTTCCTTTTCAGCCTGCCTCCGCATCTGCTCCAGGGCCGTGTGAGTGTTGAGATAAAGCAACATAGGGGTGTCCTTGGAGACGTAAGCCACCTCGGTGCGGCCACTCAGCTGCACGGAGCAGCCATGCCAAGTGAAAACAGCCACCTTGGCCCCGGCGTCAAAGGTGAACTTCTTGTTTCGTGTCAGCTCGGTGCCAAAGATCTCTGCCATGCCAGCCAACAGCTCCAGCTGAACCGACTGCGACGCCTCCACCTCAAAGCGCAGTTCTGTTTCTCGCTCTAGTTCGAATTTGGTCGTGGGCTTCTTGTCGTCATTGGCCTCCTCGCCCATCTTTTCAGAGTGGCCGTGGTGGCTGCAGCACAAATGAGATTCCAGGTCCAATCATAAGGCAGGCCACTGTGCCAAAGCCTCCACTGATACTTTCCCTTACCTTACTTTTTTTCTTCACCTTTCTTACTACTTCTGTCTCAGTACATGTTTGCTGTCCATCTTCCCCTACTAGAAGTCAGGGTCGGGTACTTTTGTTTGCTGCTGTCACCTCTAGTCCTAGAGCAGGGCTTTACAAATTGCAGGCACCTCAACAAACATACTGGGTGAACTAATGACTTAAAAGAGGAACACTGCCCACGGACTAATCTCCAAGTTTCCCTGCAGCACTGCTAATACGCTCTGGGGGGAGAAAGGAAGGCAGCAGATAGCCACTCCCCAACACTCTCAGTCAACAAGAAGAGAGCATCTGCAATCCGGATGCAAAGCAGAGGACGCCGGGTTTGGACTCGGGAAACAGCCTAAGGTCCAGCTCTACCACGATTACAGACAACCGGTTGGCCTCCCCGAACCCTTTCCTCAGCTGTCACCTGGAGGACTTCAGCTTCCTCACTTACAGGGCTGCGCTGGGGAAAACAAGGCGGGAGTGGGGGCGGGACTTCGTGAACTAGAAACATCGAGGAACCGTAAGGCTTTCTTTCAGCTCTCACTCCAGAATTTGTCCCAGCCACCCCGGACACTGAAATCTGCCCAGGCCCCAAGGAGGCGACCTCTGCGTCCCGGAGCTGATTACCTTACCTGTAGAGCCACAAGCTGAAACCGGTAAACCCGAACGCCCCGCAAGACAAGGCCCAAACGCAACCATAAACCGCGCCCGCCTAGAGGCACGCCGGAAACGCACGCGGTTCCGCTCTTGCGCAGTGCGAGGAGGCAAGGGTGCGCGGTGCCTCTTGGGGACGTGTAGTTGTGGCGGGACGGGGTGCGGCGGTTGCGCATGCGTAGCCACTTAGCCTTCTGGGAGCTGTAGTTGGGAATTGTTGCGCACGTGACGTCGGAGGTGGGCGGGGCGGCTGCGGAGCCCGGCTGGTCCGCGTCTCGCTGCTGAGGCAGAAGCGCAGGGGCGTCATCCGCTAGGACCTGCGTGGTCTGCTCGCTTAGCCCCAAGACAGCAAGTGGGAGAAATTAGCAAAACTCCATTTGGGCATGAAGAGACCAAGGGGTAGGAAAAGTGGAGGAAAACAAGCCATGCCAGGCCGACAGGCTCTGCCTGACACCGTGCTTGGTAGGCAGGAGGCATTCAGAAAGTGTCCTTTTGCAAAGGAGTAACAGACCGGTATTTCTTCTGGCTCTTAGTCACAAGCCGGACTTGGTGCACGCCTGTAATACCAGGACTCAGGAGGCTGAGGCAGGAGGATCGCGGCGATCTTGAGGCCAGCCTGGGCTACCCAGTGAGTTCCAGGCCCGCCTGGACTACATACGAGAGCCTGTCTCAAAACAACAGAAGAGTCACACCTCCTTCCCGCTGAGCTGGGCATTTTGTTGGAATCTTTTTCTCCATAGATCCCTGGCTGTTGTACAAGGTCAGTCACGTGCCCTCAGCCTGGTGTGTAAGCCTCTTCGCACAAGCGTGGGCTTTGGAATCTCGTGTTGCTCGCTCACTGTGCGACACTGGCAAATCACAGGCTTCCTCTTGCACACTAAAATGGGGATAATAACAGTACCCAACCTCTTAAAATTGTTATAAAGGTTGGACGGGATGGTGCGCCACGTAGAAGCACTGGGCACAAAAGTCTGACAGAGCAGATCTGACGTTGGCCTTGAAATTCTGGTGACAGGGTGGGGGCTGTCATAACATCTGTTTATCCGAGCTTCCCAGTTTCCACGTCCTCGAAGCTATCTGTGTTTCACCGCGCTGCACCGTCACTGTTATCTCCGATTTCACTCGGGGGAGGAGGCTGGGCGGCACTTGCGGAGCGCCCAGTCCTTGGCAGGGAGAGACGCTGAGTCAGGTGCCAGGTACTGTGCTGTGGGCCCTGCAGGTGTCAGTCCTTTGTCCTGCACGAGCCCTGTGCGGTTGGTACTCTGACAAGCATCCCCACTTACATTTTCTTGTTCTTTTTAAACTGATGAGTACTTTTTCCGACCCAGCTTCCTGGTCCATACAGACAGATTCCCCAGTTTGCTTTTTTCCTGCTGGTTCTACTTAGCCCTCATTTTTCTTCTTTTCTTTTCTTTTTCAGTGAGGCATGGTTTTGAGACAGGGTCTCACTGTGTAGCCCAGGCTGGCCTTGAATTCACGGTGATCCTCCTGCCTCAGCCTCCCCACTGCTGGGATCACAGGCGTGTGCCACCGAGCCCGGCTCAGCCCTCACTTTTCAAGGAGTGCTCTCTCTGCTAACCTCGAGCACTTCCCTTTGGTAGTTTCCTTTAGTTATTTCGTTTGTTCTCCAGCATGCACGCATTAGTTCCTCCATTAATTATTGGGTATCTGCTGATCTTTCACCATTCCGCACACTTTCAATTCCAAGTCAGACATGGTGGTGCACACCTGTAATCCCAGCACTGGAGAGGCTGAGGCAGGAGGATCACTGTGAGTCAAGGCCTCCTTGGGCTAAATAGTGAGTTCAGTGCCAGCCTCGACTGCATAGCAAGACCCTGTCTCAAAAAAACAAACAGAAAAACAAACAAACAAACAGAACAAAATTTCAATTCCAGGTTTCCATTTGCAAACTTTCTTCCTGGGTGAGCGAATATTTTCATATCCCATGTAATCTGTCCCCCTGGTCTGTTTCTTCGCCTCCACAGTCTCTCCCTGAGGCAAGTTCTCCCAGTTACCTGAAGGTCATCTTTCTTTGGGTATTGTATAACCGTCTCAGGCTGAATTTAGGAAGAACCCTGTCTCCCTTAAGCACAAGAAAAGGGCACAACATTTAAAGCATCTGGGCTTGCCTACACTCCTTTCTCATGCTCAGTCTCTCACCCGGCATTTTCTGCCACCCCAACCACCCCCAAATGACACTGTCCTCATCCTCCTGGCCAGCTAAACCCTGGATAATTTTGTTCCTGAGCTGACTTAAGTTCCCGGTATCCATTTTACCAAACTTTAAATCCATGCCCTAAAAACCAGTTATCTTTCCCCCTCAAAAATTCCTCCTTAGGGCCAGGGATTTAGCTCAGTGGTTCCGCTGCCTGCCCTGCAAGTGCAAAGACCCAAGTTCAATCTCCTGTACCAAAGGGAAAAAAAAAATTCCTCCTGTGCTCATAGTCTTCATTCTTATCTGTTACCCAAAAAGGCCATTTCCCTCTTTTTTCTTTACCCAGCTCTTCCTGTCAATTCTAGACCTCTGTACTATCCCCAAACACCCACCTTGTGTTTTCAGAATTCCCCTTAAGCCCCAGAATCCTTCCTGATTAAATATTCAGAATTCCTTTAAAAAATATCCAAATTCTTTGTTTTAACTTTCCTCTTTCCTTTCAGAAGATAAACGAACAATTGACAGCATTGCTTTCTAGGAGTCCCTGTCTTTGTCAAACTTCATTTTCTGAATGTTATTAAAAATCAGGGATTTTGTCATAGGGGATGTATTTTGAGTCTATCGGTGACATAAGTAACACAGTACCCCAAGAGCGGTATTCTGAGTCCAGTGACATTTAAGGGGAAGGTGCTAGAAAGTTAGCGAGGGGACTGGGTGTGGTGATCCAGGCCAATAATCTTAGCATTCTGGTAGGCTGAGGCAGGAGGATCAGAAGGGTAACATAAGGACTTAGCCAGACTTTGTCTCAAAATAAAAAGAAAAAGGACTAGGGATGTAGCTCAGTGTGAAGTCCCTGAGTTTCAACCCCAATACTACCGAAAGAGAAGAAAGAAAAGAAAAGGAAGAGTGAGGAAAAATATGATTTCTGCATAAGACAAGTTTTTTGAAATATCAAAAAATCTTCTCTGGGTTTAGAGGTAATAAATTGACAGCAATGTTTTTTCTTTCCATTTTTATTTATTTTTTATTAGTATATGTTTGTGATAGATAAAAATCACATTCATCTAGGGCCAGGGATTTAGCTCAGTGGCACTGTGCCTGCCTTGCAAGCACAAGGCCCTGAGTTCGATCCCGGGTACCACAAAAAGAAAAAAAAATCATCTTCATCTTGGGGGATTGGTACATACACATATTGCCACCTTTGTGGAGGCGTGGGGAGTGATTGAGACAGGGCCTTGCTGTGTGGCCCAGCAGGCTGGCCTTGAGCTCACCATGTAGCCCAGGGTGGCCTGGAACTCATGGCGATCCTCCTGCCTCAGCCTCCCGAGTGCTGGGATGCCAGGCGTGCAGCACCACACCTGGCTACATATTGCACCCGAATCATGTGCGAATGCTGACTTGGAATAACACTATTGTTTACCAGGTGCTGTGTGGGCCGGCACGGGGCGGGGCGGGGCGGGGGGGGGGGGGGGTCCACCTTATCTCAGAGACCTCTTCCAGCTCACAGCTCAGGTGCCCGCGGTCCCGGGATATAGGGGGACCTGGCCGGGCCCAGCCCGAGCAGGCCGCGCAGCCCAGGGCGTGCGGGGCGCGGCCTCCTGCGTCAGCTCAGCGCGAGGCCCGGCGCCCTCCCGCCCGCCCGCCCGGTGTCTCCCTCCCGCGCTGACGCGGAGGCGGGGCGGGCGGTGAGTCACAGTGTTGTGATGCAGCTCCACGACACACGGCCAGTCACCCACGGCGAGGTGCGGACCCCGGCCCGCGCCCCCGACCGCGGAGCCGAGCGCCGAGCGGAGCCGAGGGCAGAGCGGAGCCCGGAGCCCGCGCCAGGTGAGGCCCCGGCCCGCAGGAGCCCTTTGTCCCCCGCCCGGCCCGGCCCCTCGAGCTGCGGCCCCGCGCTTCCCGCAACTTCGGCCGCGGCACCGTCGTCCCCCGACCCCCGCCTGGCCCAGAAGCCGCCGCACCAGTCCTCGGAGCGCACCGCCCGGCCCCGTCCCCAGGTCGGGATTCGCACCCGCGACTCGGCCTCCGCCAGTGCCCCCCCCCACCGCGCCCCGCGCCCCTCGCCCCTCGCCCCGCGCCCCGCGCCCGGGCACTCGGCCTCCCCCGGCCCAGCTGGCCTTGGTCTGCCCGCCCCCGGGGAGGGGACTGCGAAGGACTGACCCGCTGGCCCTCGGGACCCCACAGCCTCCCGCAGCCTTGGCAGGATGGGCTGGGAGGCCTGACCGTCCCTCCCAGGTCGAGGACGGAGCCAGAGGCCGAGCTCCTGGGCTGGACCCCGCTGCCCCGGCCACCAGGAAGGAGGCGTTCGGAGGGGGCCCTGCCTGGGGTCACTGAGGCAAAGTTGTCAGCAGCCCAGAAGCAGTCTGCCCCAAAACCCAAAACGGGTAGTGCCTAGGGCCCCCAGCAGCAGTGCCACCCGGCTCAGCCCGGGCATCCTCCCGGTCAGCCCTGGGCCCCGAGGAGAGCTGTGCAGACCGCCCTGCGGCCCCTGGACAGAGCAGGGCGGTGGGGCACTGGGGCCACCACAGAGGACAGGACGGGACAGCAGCTGGGGCCACCGGGCGCAGACTCGGGCTGCCCTGGAAGGGCAAGGCAGCGCTGCACCCGCTTCTCCGGGCCACCTCCCTCCTTATCTGCCGCTCCAGGGCAGCAGTGTCATCTTCAGTCAGCTGGCGTCCCTGCTGCTCAGCCTGCCCCTGGGAGAGGGGATGCTGTCTTGTGTCCCACAGGACAGCTTTATTTATAACTTCGTTTGAGGTATGGGGTACTGGGGCTTGGACCCAGGGCCTTCGCACTGAGCTGCATCCACAGCATCCTCCTGCTTTTTAGACAGGGTTTTGCTAAGCTGAGAAGTTGTCCAAGCTGGGCTGGAACTTGTGATCCTCCTGCCTCAGCCTCCCAGAGTGCTAGGATTGCACACGCACCACCACGCCTGGCTCTGAAAACCAGGAGCTCCCTTGCGCGGCTGTTTGTGCATGTTGCTCTCACGGTCCTAGGCAGCCTGCCCAGCCGAGGACTTGGGCTTCTCCCATTGGTCCAGCTGTCAGACTGGCCCAAGGCAAGGGTTCTCCTCTCCCGCGGCCGGAAGCCCGAGTCTCACCAAGTGAATAGTGAGGAGCAGAGACTGGGCTCCAAGCCTGGGAACCAGCCGAGTGCTCTGTCAGGCGGGTGGCAGTGAGTGGCCAAGGGGCTGGGTCCTCAGCACGCTGAGGTCTCTGGTGCCGAGGTCGACAGCCAGGGAGGGCAGGGCAGAGCCTCGTGCACCTGCTGCCCCAAGAGGGGAAAGGCCCCTGCCTGGTGGAAGGAGGCCGGGAGAAGCAAAGCTGGCCAGCCGCGTCTGGAAGGCCCCTCCCTGGAGCCGCGGGTGCAGCTTGTCCCCAAGGCCCGGACTCCGAGGACAGGCCCGGCCGGTGACGTGGCTTCGGTGGTAGCCTTGGTGCCAGCGACCTGGTCTCAGGGGGAAATGGCAGCGGCCGCTGTGGCCCCAGGAGAGAGGCGACTCCCTCCCTGCTCCGCCCCACCAGCAGAAGCCTCAAACGGCTGCCAGGCGTGGGGAGCGACGGGGACTCGAGGGGACAGAGGGCCAGTGCGGGGTGCTGGGCCCGGGGGACGGAGCGCCCCGTGCACACCAGGGCCCCTCACACCTGGCCCTCTCCCCAGGTAACTTCGTTTCTCCCCGCTTCTCGTCTGGGGGGCCCTGGCCGGGCAGCCCCCCACATCTTTCCCGCCCTGAAACACGGCTCTAGCCAACCTGCTTCGCTGCTTCACCTGCGACCGGCTCTGCGGGGGCTGCACCGCGCCAGCCCCCCCAGCCCGCCAGGGCATCGTCCTGCAGCCCGTCATGCCCAGCTGTGACCCCGGCCCGGCCCCCGCCTGCCTGCCCACCAAGACCTTCCGCAGCTACCTGCCGCGCTGCCACCGAACCTACAGCTGCGTCCACTGTCGCGCCCACCTGGCCAAGCACGATGAGCTCATCTCCAAGGTAGGTGGAGGGTGGCACAGCTGTCCCTGAGGGCAGGGCAGCCCACCTTTCCCGGCCCAGGCGGAGGCAGTGGGCCGGCCCGCTGGTGACTGACTGTCCCGTGTCTCCACAGTCCTTCCAAGGGAGCCACGGCCGGGCCTACCTGTTTAACTCCGTGTGAGTCCCCTTCTCTCTCCCCGCGTGTGCCTCTGCCCTGGGGATGGAGGGGTAAAGCCATCAGAAAGGAGTTCTTTAGCCCACTGTGATGGCACACACCTATCATGCCAGCACTCGGGAGGCTGAGGCAGGAGGATCACCATGAGTTGGAAGCCAGCCTGGGCTGCGTAGTGAGACTGTCTCAACCTCCCCTTCCCAGAGAGTGGTTCTGTGCCTTCCTTTGGGTCTGTCACCTTCCATGAAGGGCTCCCAGGCGTTGGTCTGCAGTCTTCTCAGGGGGCGGGGCAGAGCCAGTACCAGTCCTAGGGGAAGAGCCAGGGACCACTGGCCATGGGGCCGGCGCTGCTTTGGGCTGCACTGATGGAGTGGCTGGCCGGGCTGTGGCTCCTTGTTTCCGGGACAGGGTCAACGTGGGCTGCGGGCCAGCCGAACAGCGCCTGCTGCTCACCGGGCTGCACTCAGTAGCTGACATTTTCTGCGAGAGCTGCAAGACCACGCTGGGCTGGAAATATGTAAGTACCGAAGCTCTGCCAGGGCCAGGCTGGGCCGGGCCTGGGCTTGGGTGGAGAAGCTTTGTCCTGAGGTGGCCGCCCCTCCCCGTTCTCAGGAGCAGGCTTTCGAGACCAGCCAGAAGTACAAGGAGGGGAAGTACATCATCGAGATGTCACACATGGTGAAGGACAACGGCTGGGACTAGGCCAGGCGGGCCGGCCCTGCATGCCCACCCTCCCACCTGCCCCATGGCCAGACCAGCATGTGTACTGCCCACCCTGGGGACCCGGCGCCCCACCGCCTCCCTGCCCCCAACTCCCCCACCAGGCCCCCTGCGGCAGGGTCAGGGGGACCCCAGGGGTGTCCAAGGCTCAGGGGTGGCAGCAGCAGTCAGGGGGATGCAGCACCGGAGAGGGGGCCTGTGTGTCCCCGAAGGCAGACGGCAGGGCCAGGACTCAGGCAGAGGACCAGGGAGGAGCCAGGCCCCGACCCGCCTCATTTTGAGGACAAAGCAAGGTCTTGGGCCAGGCAGAGCCTCAGCCACAGGAGAGCAGAGAAGAGGCTGGGCGGCTCGGAGAAAGTCCTGGCCTCCATGCCAGACTGAGGTGGGGAGGGACTCGGGGGAGGGAACCCCAAGTCCAGGTCCCAGCAGCGACCACAGGGCATGTCCCCCCACTGTTTACCTTGACACGGAACAGGTACTGCGCACGTGGTGGGGTGTGGGGGACCCTCAGCCACACAGCCCCACCCAGCGGGCTGGGCCCAGAGGGAGCAGGCGTCGAGGGCTGTCCAGGGCCCGCCACTGCTCCCTGGGACCTGGTCCCAGGAGGGCAGGTGCGTTGTCAGGGCCACGGGTGTCCCGTGGCTGCCACCAGCGAACGAAACTTTTGTATGATACATAAAGTGTTTGGGTCTATTTTTAATAAAAAGAGGAAAAGCCACCGTGAGACACTGTCCCGACTTTCCTTCTTCATGCAGGTGCTGTAGATTGTCCCCAACTGGCACCTGGGGTGAGCATCAGGTGAGGCTTTGCTTCCTGAGGACGGGGTTCCGCAAGCTGTATTCCAGCCAAATTCAAAACAGGTCCTGTGGAGTCAGCTGTGGTGGCTCAAACTGGTAATCCTAGCACTAAGGAGGCTGAGGCAGGAGGATTTCCATGAGTTCAAGCCCAGCCAGGACTACATGTTAAGATTCTGTCTCAAAAAACAAAACAACAGGCCTGGGATTTAACTCAGTGGTTCCACCGCCTGCCTCAAAAGCACAAGGTCCTGAGTTCAATCCCCGGGACCAGAAAAAACAAAACAAGAACACCCTAGCTGGCGTCTTGTGGCAGGAGTCCACTTCCACTGGGGCACGTGTTGGGTGGCTGGAGCCAAGACTTCCGTCCCACTGCTGGCCTGGTGCTACAATGTCTTGGACACTCAGGCCTAGGCCTAAACCTCATCAGGTGCGGGCCCGGCCGTCACAGGGCAAGGACAAAATGCCTCAATGCAGCCCTATGACCCAAGGGACACTCTGGGGGGCAGTGACCCGACGTTTCTGGTATTTTGCACTCTTCAGGGGAGATTTGCACATCATTCGTAACAATCCCGCTCCCTGTCTTTTTTTTTTGGTTTTTGAGACAGAGTTTTGCCAAGTCGTTCAGGCTGGACTTACGTGCACTAGGTCACTGGGCTGGCCTTGAACCCATGCCGCTCCTCCTGCCTCAGCTTTAGGGCTGAGATTAAAAATCCCCTTTATAAACTGGGTGAGGTGGCACACCCCTGTGATCCCAGCACTCGGGAGGCTGAGGCAGGAGGCTCCCTGTGAGTTCCAGGCCAGCATGGGCTCCAGAGTGGGAACTTGTCTCAGAAAAGCACAGGAAAAGCCAGGCCGGCAAAGGGCAGGGCTGAGGAGAACAGTTTAGGCAGCAGAGCATGTCATGATTCAAGCCTGGAAGCTGAGCCAAGAGCATTCCAAATTCAAGTCCAGCCTGAGCAACTAACTTAGCAAGGTCCTACCTCAACATAGGTAACTTTTAGAAAAAAGCTCTGATGTAGCCCAGTGGTAGAGCATTTGCCTAGCGTGAGTGAGGCCCTGGGTGCAAACTCCAACACTGATGCTGTGGGTGGAGGCACACGCCTATAATCCCCAAACTCGGGAGGCTGAAGCAAGATTGCTGCAAGTTCAAGGCCAACCTGAACTATACAGTGAGTGTAAAAAACAAAACAGAAAGTGAATTCCAATACTGGGGAAAGAGATGAAACAAGGTAGGCTGGGGCTGTACAGTATACCCTTGGAGGGATCTCAATCCCATCCCCAGGGCACTGGGGAGCCATGGGAGGATTCTTGTTCAGGAACATGTGATCATCAAATGGCTGTGCTGTGCCCAGACCAGAGGCCAGAGAGGAGGAGCACAGAGCCAGCAGTGCCATCTCCAGCACGATCAGCAGCAGGAGGGCGAGGCCATCCCTGTCCATGGGGGAGAGAATGGAGACACACAGGAGAAGCTAGCACTTCCTGTATGTTAATGACACTGTTCTTGGGCTCTAGCAGGGGACTTGAACTCTGTCCCCCATAATCCCACCTTGACACCAAAGCAGGCCCAAACTCTGCCCTTGAAAACAAGGCAGCCCAGTGTAGTGGTGCACACCTACAACCCCAGCACTCTCGGGAGGCTGAGGCAGGCGATACATGGTGAGATAGAGCAGCCTCGACCATATAGTGAGACCATGTTTCAAAAAACCAAAAACAGGGCCGGGGATTTAGCTCAGTGGTTCCGACACCTGCCTGGCAAGCACAAGGACCCCAGTTCGATCCCTGGCACCAAAAAAAACCATATAAAAAACTAAGCACAACCTAGCTACTGGGTTTTGTTTCATGTTTGGGGGACAGTCTTGGTAAATCACCAAGTTGCCCAGGCTGGCCTGGAACTTGTGATCCTCCTGCCTCTGCCTTCCAGAGTGCTGGGATAAATGAATGTGCCATCGTGCCTGTTTACAAACTAGCTAATTTTCTTTTCAGTACTGATGACTGAACCTGTGGAGACTGAGGCACAACTGCAGCCCTTTAAAAAACTCCTCAGGGTTTTTTTTTGGTACTGGGGACCAAACTCGGGACCTTTCACTTTCGAGGCAGGCTGCACAATTACTGAGCTAAATCCCCAGCCCTTCTGGTTGTTTTTTTTTTTGAGGTCTTGCTGTGTAGTTGGGGCTGGCTGTGAACTCACAGGGATCCTCCTGCCTCAGCCTCTCGAGTGCTGGGACTGGAGGTGTCTACCACCATGCCTAGCTCTGAAATCTTTTTTTTTTGGTACCAGGGCTCGAACTCGGGTCCTTGCGCTTGCACAGCAGGCGGCAAAACCACTGAACTAAATCCCCGGCCCTAGCTCTGAAATCTTTCAATTTTGTTTTGGTACTAGGGATCAAACGAGGAAACTTGCGCTTGCGAGGCAGGTGGCGGCACCACTCAGTTAAATCCCTGGCCCTTGAAATCTTTCAGTTCTGAGACAGGGTCTCACTAAGTCACAGGTTGCCCTGGCTGGGCCCAAACTTGTGATCCTCCTGCCCCAGCCTTCAAGGGCTTGGATTACAGTTGTGTGCCACGGCACCCAGCTACTAGATGCCCTCCTAAAGAGCTCTCCCAAACACTTCAACTTACAAAGCCACCGGAGCACTGTGGCAGACAGAGGAAGTTACTACCTTAAATCACTTGCTGGCCTTGACCTTTGGTGTTTTGAGACTGGGTCTCGCTATGCAGGTCCAGCTGGCCCTGAACTCGCTATGCAGCCCACGCTGGCCTCAAACTCGTGGGCATCCTCCTGCCTCAGCCTCCCCGGTGCAGGGAGTACAGGTGTGTACCACGACTCCAGCTCCAGAAATCCCATTTAGATCTGATCCCCAGGACCAGGTCTTGGGCTTCGCTGTACACATCCTGACTCCCAGACGGGTCAGTGTGCAATGCCCTAGGGCAAAGGGGCCGTGGGGGGCACTGGGTGGAGAGGGATTCCCGAGTCCCTGCAGGGAGGAGCAAGGGCACACAGGTCTTTCCTCTTCCATCTCCCTGGAGCGCGTGGTGGCTCTTCTACCCAGCAGTTGGGAGCCCAGCCCCGCGTTCATCCTTCGGGCCGGGGCTGCGCTCTGGAAGGTGCCCTGGCACTGCCAGCAAGTGGCTCCGGAGCTCTGCAGGGGGAGGCTGGCTGCAGGCTGCTGCAGTCATGGGCGTGGGGCGGCCTCGGGTACCCACAGGCTCTGTCCGAAGCGCAGCACACTCTGAACGGGGAAGGAGCCCAGGGCCGGGCTCCCAGGGGCCGAGGGTGCCGGGACGAAAGCAGCAGCACGGGGAGGGGGGCGGCGCTGGGTAGCACTGCCCGGCCAATGCCCTTTTAACATTGCACTGCTCGTGACGGGTGCAGACAGTAGCACAATGTGAAAAGAGCTCCGGCCAGCAGCAGGGGCGCCCCACTGCCCCCGACACTGCTTCCAGCCCGGCAGGCGGCTCAGCCTGCAGCCCTTTCCTGTCCTCGGCCGCGGTGCCAACCCTCCTGCCCTCCCTTCCTCTCCGGCCTTCTCTCGCCCCCTTTCCAGCAGCGCCCCTCTTCCTTGGAGGTTCGGGTGCCCAGGCAGGGCCCGAGGAGACAGCTGAGCGACCCTTTGGGAGAGGCGCTCGCCCCTGAGGACCACGTGACCCTGTCTACTCCTCAAACATGCAGCCGTCTGCTTTTCAGTTTGGATGAAGCGGAGTTGTAGGGTTCACGGTGACAACCCCAGTTGACCCTCTAAGGCCAGAGAGCAAGGATGGGGTTAGGGGACCCCAGAAGAGGGCGGGCACTGGAGCCGGAAGCTGCTTTTGAGACAAGGTCTCGCTATGTAGCCCAGGTTAACCTTGAATTCACTGGGCAGCCCAGGCTCACCTGGAATGGTGATCCACCTGCCTCAGCCTCCCGAGTGCTGGGATCACAGGCGCGCACCACCACACCTGGCCTCTTTCAGTCTTCAAGCACTGCACAGACCCGACCCTGAGCAAAGTCGGCAGGTGGCCCCGCTCGCCCGAAGAAGTTCGGGATAATCTCTGCTAGGCAAAAGGGATGAGAAACGGAGTTTCCGGCCCAGCCCTGGGACTCTGGCGGAAGACTCGGAGTCTCCAAGCTCGCCCCCTCCGGCTATCCCACCCGGCACCGAGACCACTCCACCCAGAGCGGGGGGGGGGGGGGGGACGGGACAGAGGCCGGGGTGACTCCTCCCCGCCCATCCGGGCAGCACCTCTGGCTCTCCTAGTGTGCTCCTCGGCCGCAGCAGGATGGAGGCCTGTTCCAGTCCGGAGCTCTCCCTCCAGGCTTCCCTCAGCCTCTGCCGCCGCCAGGAAGCAGAAGAGCTCCTTTCCCGCCTTGTCAGGCAGTTTGTTCTGAGTCTGCAAACCCGGGACCCTGCCCCACGGCCTGCCCAGCACCGAGGGACGGAAACCGAGGCCCCGCCAGGGTCAGTGGCCAGGCCTGCCTGCTCCTGAGGCCAGGCCACCGGCGGGGCGCGGGGGCAGCTCGCTTGGGGGGCTGGGAAGATCTCCCCCACGGAGCTCCCAGAACGCTCCCTCGGGAGGGGAAGGAGGGGCTGGGCCCGGAGGCCCCGAGCCCGAGCCCGCAGCGCAGCCCCTTCCGGAGCGGCCGCGACCCCCGGCCCGCAGGACCCTCCCCCGCGGCGCCTTCCAGACGCGGGTGGAGACAGAGGAAATGGGGGAAGGGAGGCCTTGGCTCAAGTTCCAGGCTCCCCCTCGTCATTGGCCACCGTCTTCCGGGCCCTGGACCCGAGCAGCGGGGGCTGAGGCCCAGCCCGCGGCGCGGAGAGAAAGGGCAGGTGGGGGAGCGGGCAGGGGTGGCCCCAGCTGTCCCCGCCCCGCCCGCAGCCATGGCGACGGAGGAGGAGACCCGGAGGGTCCCGCAAACGGTTCAGGGAATAGGACGGCCCCGGCGGCC